ATAATAATTATTATTATTATAATAATAATAATTATAATAATAAATTATTATAATAATAATAATAATGTGGGGGTATTATAATAATAATTATAATAATATTAATTATAATAATAATAATGTGGGGGTATTTTTGTAAACAAACATTTTTTAATAGTCTTTATACAAGGCTTGCTATTTCCAATACATCAAACCAAACAATGTATAAGAAATAATGCAAGCATAACTAATGCAAGCATTACTAATGCATGCATTACTAATACATCATATTCAACATTATTCTTATACACTCTACCAAACGACCCCTAAAAGTCATAAAAATTATTTCCCTGATAGAAAAAAAAAGTTTCATAAATAATATTTTATGTTGATTATTTCCTCCCCCCTCCCTACACCCTCCTAACTAAGAAAAATAATTTCTTCGATGAAATATAAAAAACAAGTTCCACAACTAGGATTTTAAGTTGATTGGCTTCCCTTTCACTACACCCCCACCCCCACTTCCCTCTCCACCCAACCATTGCACCTTCATCCTTATGATATTTGTCTAAAGTATATATAAATATTTTAGACTGTATTTCTTCTTTACTTACCAAATCAAAAAATAAATAAGTCACATATTTTATCGAAAAACATTTTCCTTCGTACCAAACACATCCTTAATTTTGTTATATTTGATCACAATTAACCTCCAAAAGATGCAATCATAGAAAATTAGTAATACCTTCAATTGTAGACCAGGGATAACAATTAGAGTATGAGGAATATGTTTAACACCAATCCATTGTCCATCCTTAAGTATTTGAAGTCCAGGAACTTCACCTTGTTGAAGCATTGTTATGAGATTTGGATCAGAATGTACTGGCATTCCTAGTGTTAAACTTGGACTTGGACATGGAATATGATGATTAACAGATATCAAATGAGTTTTACTTAATTCACCTTCAAAATAACCTTTCTCTAGTCCTAATCCTTTGCATATCATATCCAAAATCTTGTTAAATAGCTTCCTTGTTTCTATTGAATACTCACTAACCACTTCTCTACAAAAAGAAAACAAACAAAATGATTAGTCTAATATATGTTACCTTAAAAAAATGTCATGTGGAATATTCAAATTAAAGAGTTTCTCCTCTGTATCACTTTATATGACGTAGATTGAACTGACATCGTGCTTAAAAATAAAGAAACATAGACTTTTATATTTTTTGACCTAATAAATATGTCATGACATTTCTGTTGGATATAATAATTTCAAATTCAGAAGTGGATACTTCTATATCGAACGAATTAAAAAGGAAAAGTGTATCATATAATTAAACTAAAACATATGAAGTTTTAAGTATAAAAGAGTGATATTTTTTAATAAAAAAAGTAAGACACGTAAATTAAAACAGGAGACATATATATATTACCTATAATTGGTGGGCTTATCAGGCCAAGAAGGGATATGTTCCTCTAAAGAATGGCAACGATGAGTAAATGTATCTCTCCAATAGTGAACTTCATCAGTATCATATGATAAAGTACTTGAAAATATTTTGCAGCTCTTGTTTATGTCATTTGAGTAAAATTTTGCCTTGTATTCACCAGGCAATTTGAAGAACTCCTTGTATATATTCATTGTATCATCCATTAGATTTTCACTTACTCCATGGTTTATCACCTGATCATCATAATATGCAAAAAAAAATGAAAAAAATAATAAGTATTCGTCCATTTTTAATCAAAAGTTTTGAATTCGAATTCTGAATATGAAGTCGTTTTTGGTGAGGAGCACTTTATTTACCAAAGTTGGACTTCTAGATCACCAAATGTGGTGTCACGGGATACAATTTCATGGAATTTTTTTACTAAATACGTGTATGTGTAGATTTGATAGGGAGTCTTGGAGCAACGTTACAATTGTTAAGTCATGAGCTAACATTTGGGGTTGAATTAGGTTCTAGATTCATTTTTTTTAACATGGTATCAGAGTCAGGTCATTCCAATTCAAGATTTACTGATGTTGGTGTTGGGTTTTAAAAGATGAACAACAGGTGGACCCCATATTAAATTGTTCATGCACCAGATCTCTAGTCGTAAGCATGAAACCAGGGTTTTAAGTCTCACATCGCTGGGATGAGGAAATTAAATTATGGGTTACTTATATATGGATTTGAGCAATCTTCCTCTCGTGGGCTAGCTTTTGGGATCGAGTTAGTCCATGATCCATTTCACTAACGCTTACATGAGGATAGACTGTCTACATCACACTCATTAAGATGCAACCCATCCTATTGTTTAGGTGTCTCAAGAGGTCGAAGGATCAAATCTTGTATTCAACAACACTTGAACCAATGGAGTTAGAATCATTTAGTTGATCTTTAATTGACATCAATACACAAAGTTCATTTCTTCATGTTTATAAAGAAGCCATCTTAAAACTCTATGTTTGAAAAAACTAGTAACATATGTTTCATGAAAATTTTTGTGTACGCCACTATCGATCACAGTTTATAAACACAAACAATTCTTAACTACAAAAGATTAACAATAATAACAACAACATACTCAGTGTAATCTCACAAATAACGTAAAAGGAAGGTAGAATATATATGCAGGTCTTACCTCTATCTCTGTAAGGTAAAAAGGTTGTTTCCGATTAGAAAAATAGAAGATTAACTTATACCTGAAAGAATCCAAATTCTTGGCATGCTCTAATAACTTGTTGAATTGTTTCATCTGGATTATTATGAGCCAAATCTATGAGTGGTATATCAGTGCAAACAGGAAATTCAAGCTTTCCTGGTCTACTTTCTGGTGGGAAAATATATGTTTTAGGCACAAATTCAACATTTGACCAATTGGAAATCAAGATATCCATTAATTTCTTGAGTTTTCTTGTGTGTTTGAATCAATTTGTACATAGATGCTTTGTATAAATAACAAACAAAAGAGATATCACTAAGGAATAGATTATTATTCACCAGTATTTGATATATGTATTAAATGATTAAATAAATTGGATCACATACTGAAGGGCTCATTTTCTTGGGCCAGCACTCCGAACAATTTTGTTTTCATTCACAGAAGCTTGAATTTGAGAACTTTGATTAGGAATGAATGAATCTCAACCATTCTATTACACTTAAGGATATATTTAATCTATGTCCCGTGTCATATAAATTGGACAACCGAAGAAATATCATTTTTGTTCGTGAGTTTTACATCCTAGCTATCGGTTGTTCTCTTTTTCTATTTGAAATATCACCGTCTATATTAATTCTGGACATATTTCTCTATTACGACTTCAAAACTCACACCAAAACCACTTATCCCTAGTTTCAAACCACCAAGGGACCTGCATGGGCCATCGAAGTTTTCTATTTTATCTCTATTATATTATTATTTTTATTTTTAAATAGTTTCAGAACATATTATCAGTACGAGACTCTATCATCTCAAAGAGTGAAAGATTAAGTTTGAAAGCTAAAGTATTATTTATTTTTCTCTTTTTTAATATGATTAATCTTACAAAATTTAAGTTTGTTGTCCTTCATAATTCAGACAAGAACTATTTTTCAGGGGTATTGAATGCTAAAATCAATTTGGATGTTATGGATTTTGGAAACACCATTCAAAATTAATGAAATTAATGATGAAAATAAAGCATCAAAACAAAATTGTGCTAAATCTATGATATTCTTGCGTCAAATTGAATATATCAAAGTGTGAGTTATTCAATTATCAGAATTTCATTAAGATGATGACGCGAGAATATCAAAGCTCTAGCACAATTTTGTTTTGATACTTTATTTTCATCCTTAACAGTGTCTCTTCCAACACGTAGTTCTTGCCCAAACTATTAAGGGCAACAAACTTTAAGTTTCTTAAGATTAGTCATATTAAAAAAAGGAAAATAAATAATACATTAGCCTTCAAACTTAACCTTCACCTTTGAGACCATAAAGTCTCGTACTGATAACGTGTTATGAAATTATATAAAACAATAAGAAGAATAAAATAATAGGAAGAAGAGAAAAACCTTATTACTCTTGAATGATATTTAGGGATTGAGATGATATTCATATATAAATTGCAACGAAGGAAAATTTTCACGTAATAAACATTTATTGTAATACAAATATGTTTATAATAAAAATATAAATTATTAGCTCTAGTTGACACATAATATAACATATTTAATACACGCTAGTTAAGCTTTCTTCGAGAACCTAGAAGCTGGTATTGAAAAACTATTGGCAAAAAGCTAATTGAAAATTTTAAATTGATAGTAAGTTTACAACTTGTTATTTATTTATATAATAAAGCTATTTCTCGTTTTCCATAGTATGTATTATTTAAGTTGTAGACGGTATTAAAAAACTTTAGACAAAAGGTTGATGATCTTCCTCCTTCAACTTTAACTTCAGTCTCGTATGTCTGAAGTTCAAACATAGATTAAAATTTAAATATGTCTATCATGTTAAAATTTCAAAATTTACATAAATAAAAATAAATTTATCTGTGAAACGATTATAATACATTAAATAATTATATTTATTATAGTGAAATTTTATTGGCACAATATTTATATATTAAACAATTTACCATATATAATAAGTTATTCTTTTTCTTAATATAAAAGGAGTTGTAATTCAAGAGATAACATGAGCATCTAATAATTAAAGAGTAAAACTTGCTTAAATGGGATAGTTTAATTTAGAGAGTTTGTTTCTTTAGTTCTTAATAATGTTTTGATATCAAAGATGAATTCGATTCTTATTAACGTTTTGATATCTATCAAAAACAAATTTAATATAAAAATTTAATAAGTTCAACTTATAAGATTCTGGACATTAAAAATTTGATGATATAATATATATAAAATTCCAAGGTGGTGCCTGACAACTATTTGCCAGTTACTTCAATGTCCTTTTCCACAACACATAACATGTGTTCATAATTTCAGTAAGAGTCACATAAGTAAATTGATTAAACACTTAAATTCATCGCATGAGACTTGACTAGTTCGAACCCCTATTATATTATATATGAGTAATTATATAAAAATAAATTTACCAGCATCTAAAAGATAGGGAATATTGATTCTCTACTTAAAAATCAATAATAAAATAATTTCAGGACCTTTATTAATTTATTATCTTCATAAAAAAGAATATTTTTAGTTATTTAGTCTTATACAAAGGATCATATATAAAATAGTATTTGTAGTCCTTGAGTTATTGTTATATATCCTTTTCTTGATATACGATTTATCATATTTAACTTTTAATTAATTAAAATAAGTGTTTTTTGACATTTTCATGTAGATATTACGTTATTATTTGAATATAGAATTATATTAATCTCAAATATAAAATAATTATCTAAATTTTTAATAATTAATTGTTGAAAAATTAATAATTATGATAAATTTAAGAATATTAACAATCGAAGGGATATAAAATTAAAAAATGCATATTTGAATTAATTAAAATTTTAATGTTCAGAGCACCGACAGCAACACATTATGATATTAAAATGTAGGTCGTTTACTTGTTTTGCTTAATTTAATAGAAAAAATATATTTTTTTAAAAAATAGTTTAATATTTCCTATCTGTTAAACGGCTATATAATACAGCTAAGCAAACCTCACTGAGGGAAGATATAATATAAAATAATTTTATAAGCCAAAGTTAATATGTCTCCCTCATCATTTGGTCCCACATTAAGAAAATAATGCAAATATTAATTAAAGTTTGGTTTAAATTTGATCAAATAATTACTTGCCACGTATTCTAACACTAAAGAAAGAGTAAGCATTTCATCCACACAACACCAAGAACGATAAATGGGGTCTGAAAGGATAGAATATATATAGATGTTATCTATCTTGATGATAGGAAAATTATTTTTTATAGATGTTCGACTTAATTAAATTATAAACAAAGCCAAATAATGACAGTAAAGTAGCATGATATGAAGATAAACAAAGCCAATGAGGTAATAAGTCGTAGTAAACCATTAATGCAGACAATAATTTGATTATACTCCCTTCCAGTATTTTCAAAAACGTTTTTTGCCGCGAGTCTTGGGGCGGAGCGTAAATTAAAGATGTAGATCCATAAGGCGTAAGTTCTAAAATTTGAGGCGTAAGTCTCGAGCATAAAAACGTAAGTCCTGGGGGTAAAAACATAGGCTCGGGTGTTTTTAATTAATTTTTTTGTATCTTTTTTGCTTTAAATCATATTGTTTATTATTGGTGTAATCATATTTCTCAAATAGTAATTATAACACTTTTTTTCTTCATTATTGATTATTAATACTTATCTCAAATAAAAATCATACTATAATTTCTATATATTATAGGTTATTTATAAAAAAATATTTGTAAAATCATTGAAAGGTTTACTTTTGCTTATTTTATTAGTAATAAAACTATAAAATTGAATATACATGAGACTACGCCCCGTAGATCCATGTGACTTACGCCTCATGTCTTGGGGATTACGCCTCACCCCGTACTGTATAAAACGTCTTGCCTCACGCCCCCGCCTTTTAAAACATTGCTCCCTTCATTTCTATTTATATGTCATTCTTATAATAGATGTTCTTTAGTACACTCCCGTTCCTATTTACATGCCGTCCTTACTAAAAATAGATGTTCCTTAAGAATTGTTATTTTACAAAACCAAAGCATAAATAAGTAATTAATTTTCATTGGTATTAATTAATCAAAATAAATTAGGAAAAATCTTTTTGGCTAGAAAATTTGGCCCGAATGATATTTTATTTATGTTATTTTTATCTTTTTGAACATTTTTACCCTTTTAACTTTAAAACCTTTTAATTTAAAAAAATGGAAAAAATATCAGTTTATTTTAAAATAAAAAAATATTATATTTTTTTTTAAATATCTGACCAAATTTTCTGGTCATTTAGCATTACCCAATAAATTAACATGTTCATTGATTGAAAAATTAACTTTAAGAGAACACTAAATAAGGGTATAATGATAACTTACCTAGTTTATTAAGGAACGCGAAATCTAAAATGGTGACAACTAAATAGGCACGAGTTGTAATTTTAATTGAAAATGATGAAATAAGTACTTGCCACGTATTGTAACACTAATTAAGCATTAATTTGGAGTATATAATTAGCATTAATTAGAATCAAATTAAATTAATTTGAGACTAATGGTATGAGTGTTGAAACTTAGATTTTGAGAATAGAAATTTGCCGACCACGCTAATGTTGGTTGGAATTAGGTCTTGGTGTTGATATCAACTTAAAAAAAATTAAAAGTGGTTCGGAATTTAAAATTTATTGATCTGACTAATTAGATTTATGACGATATTGAATTTTCTTTCAAGCGATTTCAGCACGAGTCATGCGAATTGGAAAAAATAGTTTTCCCCGTTGATGAATTTTTTGAATTAATTAAAGGTCCTAAAATGAGTATTGAACATTGTAAAAACAAAGAAAATTGTATAAAGAAGGATTTCCCATGACATAACATTCTATGTACTAACTTAGTTGTCCGACACCGCTATTGGCATGACAAACGGAACTAAAAAAGAGGGACTAACCGATTAAGATTAACAGTTACCTGTAAGACGATTTAGCTAAACTTAACAACAAACTTATTTTTGTCTTTATTATCTTATCTTATAAAAATATCTCTTGCTCGAATGAGAAATTGCGTGAAAGGAGGAAAACACATATAATCACCTATCGATCATTATCATCATATTATATCTATATGTCATTTGTTATTTGTTAATTAAAACTAATTAGTTCTTGAAAGGAACGGATTAGTATGATTTTGAAAGTTTAACGTTAAGAATAGATAAATATGAAAATAAGTTGGACAAATGATTGAGAAAAATATAAATACAAGTAAATTACAACTAAGAAGATAATGACATTTTACTTAACAT